CACCCCTTCCTCCTGCTCTTCCGGCCTGCTACTCTGTGCTATGCCTGTGCTTACCTTGCTCCCGAAGACCTGGTCCCTCTCGGTAGGGTAACAAGGGAAACGTGTTCAGTGCAGATCAGTGAGTAAGCACAAGCCCGCCTTGTTTCAGTGCCTACATATATATATATGTATATGTATACGTATATGTGTATGTATATATATGTATATACTTTTTAAAGGATCAAGGTTCCAGTTCTACCCATAATAATTAGCACATACAGCCTTAGCAAAAGCTACTTAACTTCCCCACAGTCTTGTCATTAGAAAGAATGCAGTATCTCCTCCTCATTGAGTTGCCGAGAACAAATGAGATCAAATCTGTCAAATGGCTAGTGCCGAAAATGGTACATCACAAGCATTCAAGTGTTTATTGTCTCTCCTTGTTCTAAGTTATAGAAAGGCAAGAAGGAAGAGAAACAGTCACAGTGAAAAGAACCACGAGAACTGAATTACAGGTCCATTTATGCCACAAACTACTTGTATATTCTCAGGCAATTCACATAACCTTTCTGTGCTTTGATTACTCATCTAGTATGAGGATATACCAGCCCTAGCTTCCACTGAAGATAGGGTGAAACAGGACCCCTGTTAGGGCAAGAGCCCTGATGGCACAGTGGTTAAGCATTCAACTGCTAACTGAAAAGTTAGTGGTTCAAATCCACTGGCCATTCCACAAGAGAAAGATGTAGCAGTCTGCTTCTGAAGATTACAGCCTTGGAAACTCTATGAGAAGTGAAACCCTGCCCTATAGTGTCATTATCAGTTGGAATCGACAACTTGATTGCAATGGGTTTGGTATCTTCTATTGATGGACTTTGGAAATTACAATACAAACATCACATGCCTAAGATCCTAAAAGAGTTCACTTATCTAACATAAATGAACTTTTCCTTCATGCTACACTGATTTAAATGATCACTGGAATATTTTTCTTTTTTAATGTAGATCTACCTGTTTCTTAACTTCAGGCCTTCAGTGTGAGCTAAGCATAAACACTGAGACCACTTGTATCTATACAAAGTTGGCCAAGATATTAGCCGAAAGTAATGTGGTGGTGAAAAGTTCAGGTCCTGTAGGCTGGATGACCCCCGAAACTATTGCCCTGAGGATATCTTTAAACTTTAAACTGAAACTATCCCCAGAAGTCATCTTTAAATCAAACAATAATTTAACTTAATTAGAAAATAATTTCTGCCACAAGCATTGTGCCCTTTTAAAGAATTATTATATGAGATCAAATA